CTCTCTCTCTCTCTCTCTCTCTCTCTCTCTCTCTCTCTCTCTCTCTCCCCCATCACCCAATGGTGTACTGTGAGCACTGCACTGCTAATCAGCAAAATCAGCATAACACGGTCTCCATTCACTCTTGACCTCTCATAAGAAACATTTCCTTTCACATATTTATTTATTTCACATCCTGTTTTTAACACTCTGACTTTGCTCCCCAGTCACGCTGCCTCCATCCTCTGCATTGAATTATGTTTTCTTATTCCTCTCATCACCTTTCCCTTTTACCTCCTCCCCTCCCCGCTCCAGCATCTCTCGTTTTGACCTTCCCATCTTTATGTCTCTCCGGCCCTTCGGCCTAGGCCTATTTCAATCACCTCATCCCTCTCTTACTCCATCCCCTCTTCTTTCCTCTCCCGCTGCATTGCATCTCTCTGATCGCTCTCCTCTTGTCCACTCATCCTATTACTTATTCCTCTCTCTTACTCACCTCTTCTTACCCTTCACAAACCGTCATCATGCTCTCTCTTTCCTGTCTCCTCTCTCCTGTTTTCTGACAGCTAAAGCTGGTTAGCGCTATCTACTGCGCAGTGTTTTATGGCCCGGGTCTGTCACAGCCCCAACAACAATGGCCACCACACAACCCCCCAACAGCAGCTTAAAGGAAATTTACAGGGCTATTACGCGGTGGCTACCACACTGGAGATTCACCACCGCCAAAAAGAACTGGCCTTCAAAATCCACGACATGGCTGCCTTCCCTTTGGTGTGTATCTGCGGCACACTTGTGTGAGTGTGATGCTGATGAATGTGTATGTGGGAGAGCGAGGAAATGCATGGGCGTGTGTGTTTTTGAAATCAAAAGTGCTTGCTTGCGTGTTAAATGTGTACGAGAGAGTATGAGCCTGTGCATGTGCACATTCAAGGCCCAACACAAAACTGCCCTACTGGCAAGATTACATAACCACACTGACTGCCAAGACACAAACTCATTCTTCCTCTGTATCCCGCTCTCCCCTATTGTCACCCCCACCCAGCATCCCCCCCAACATCCCACAAAAACACAATGTCCTTCTGTTGATCTAATATGCAAAAAAAAAACAACTGAATTGAGATTTTGGCTGGCACAGAGGGGAATGCACAATGCACCGCAGCACACTTGTTTAGCAATGAGCAGCGGGGGGAAAGAACATCTCCCTGTATTAGATGCATGATAATAATAATGACAGGAGGTATTAATAGCAGCTAGCAACTCTGCCACCGATCCCACTCCACTTCATGTACTGCTTTTTCTCACCGTTGCTGCCTCGTGTTCAATGAGTCTTATGACTCTTGGATTAAAACTCGACCTCATACAGCTCTTGTTGAGGACTAGTCTCTTGTTTTATCTAGTCCCCCCCCCTCCCCCTCTCCATCTCCATCGTCTTTCTTGCACACACAACAGACTGCGTTGTTCTCCATCTCTGTCTCGCTATTTTTCTATTTCAGCCTCCGCCGCTCCCTTGCGTACAGTCCAAGTTTCTAGCTGGCCAGGTCCTTCTCGGCTCGTGTCTGTCAGTCTGTCTCTCATTCAATATATATTGGTCTGTTTCACTGCACTCCCCCCCATTCTCTTTCTATTTGACAACCTCGCCATACAGCTCCCTACATCTCTACCACTCTGGGGTTCAACTTTCTTTTATAATATTCTTCAGAAGAGAGCTGACAAAAACACTTCAGCCACTCTCATATCTCTCTCTCTCTCTCTCGCTCTCTCTGTTTTCATTTGTGACTGATTCCCTTCAGGTCTTTTGGTCCATCCGTCCACTCTCTTTTTCTCCGCCTGGTCTCTCATTCCCTGGTCCTGTCACCTCCTGGGCATATGCTACTCTCTTCCCATTCACCCTAGACTTTATCTTAATTACCAATTCTAACTTAATTACCAGCATTTTGAACAATTCATCTTAAGCTCTCATTTCGTGATTCAATCACAAGCTATTCCTCCCTTGGTCAAGTGCAGGCACTGCGCTGGATCTCATTCTGTATCAATTTACACCAATTAGTATACTTAACACTCTTGTGTTCTCTTTTTATATGACATCACATCATCGAGAGAAATATCTGCAGGGAGTTTAAATTACAAAAAATTGCCACATCCTATCTCTAACATGAAACGATGTGTTTAATGACACCTGAATTTCCCTCTAGAATCCAAACTGCACGTCTCATTTAATCTGTGTATGTGTGTGTGTGTATGCACATGTGGGTGTTGATGTGTGCATGACTTACGAGTGATGCAGAGCAGGACCAGGACCAGGCTGCGTAGGGCCAGAGAGAAAGGGGCAGGGAGGAGGCGGCAGAGGACAGAGCTCCAGACAGGCCTCATTGTGTACTGAGAAGCTGTGTGTATATGTGTGAGCATGTGTGTATGTGCACGTTTGATCAATGGCTCCTCTGTGACCCTGGCTGCACTGCTACAGACAAACTAGTCCCCACACACACACACACACACACACACACTCTGATTTGTTCTCAACTGCAATGCTGGACACAAGTGCACACGCTAACTGCCCACATTTACTTCAGTGCAATCAGACAGAAGTTGTTGTCTGAGGACAAACCTTAAAGAAAGGACTCTTATGTGCTCCACTGCATCACAACACATGCAAAGAAAGGGATTTAGCTGCTAAGTGAGATAGAGATGAATTGTGACGAGGGCTTGCATGCAATCCACAGACGTTTGGACAGAGCTCAGGGCGCTAACAGAGCTAGCGATTTAGACACTATATCACAATGCACATAGAGATGAGTTTAGAGCAACAGAAAGTTCCACTGTTGACTTTAGCACCATGTGCTACTTAGAAAGAACGTACGCGTTGCGTTGTCTTATATCCATACAGTGTAGAGGCTTTGCTGCTACAAAGCTGTACAGGAGCTCAGTCCCATCTAAGCAAAACAAGAACAAAGCAAACCCTGCTAGGCTAGCTATTTTCTATCACAGTGCTCCGAGCCTCCTGAGACCAAAGATTCTCGGATCAATAAACCACAAAAACCTATACCAAGATGTTGCCAAAGCAGACCTGCAACACTATGTCCTTTACCAGCAAGAGTATTCAGCAATGGCAGCTATCCAAATAACCAAATAAGAGGCAACTTAATTAGCTCATCAGCGACTGTACACTGCAGTGCCAAATTGGGAGCTAAGCTAGCTCTGTGAGGTGCCCCAACAATCAGCCACACAATTAACCACAACAACAGACTGCTTGTCTCGTATAGGTCAAACCACACTGCTCCCGAGGAACTGAAAACATCAATAATACTATATTTCAGTCAGATACAGGTTGAGAAAAGCAAGTATCTCTGCTGATGGTGACTGAATGCTATCTTTTGAAATAGAGCTACCTACATTGTTGTGCCCTCGAGGACAGAGAAAACCAGGGCAACAATGTTCATTCTCAAACACATTGTATTTCAATGAATCAAACAGGGTTTTTTCTGCACTTCTCACCCGACAGATCGTCAGGAAGAATTCAATGTTCCTTTGAGCTATCACCAAACCGGCCAGGCCTCTGGAGAGATGGAGACACTTTCTTACTACAAGTCATCTGGAGATAGCAAAGGTTAAATAAAAGCCATTGAGCTTGAGTGCCGCTCTATACTGTAAAGTAGAAGTGCTTGCCCTGTGTAGAATAACCAACCTGCTAGAGGTTGAGCAAACTGCAGTCAGACGCGTTAGTTTCAGATATTACACTTTTTAGTCTGCTTTTTCACCCCAGAGACTTGCACATTGCTCACACAAGGTATCTACTATTACTCGCATGAATGCCGGAACTCTTTCGATATGCTATCATGTATACACTGCGGCGTAAATGGACAGTGAATTTTACATGGTCATTTTAGACCCTCAGACTAATCATATGCTATCAGACAGTGTAATCGTGCAGCATCGACCTGCCTTACTCTTCCTTTCTAACATACTCCACCGGGTGCACTCCAGATAAACGCTCACTCGTACACACTGATCTGAAAGCCTGCCCTGTTTAAGATCCGTACAGAGTTCCGCTGATTGTCAGGATCTAATGCATCGTTGGTCTCCGGGAGACTGTTGCTCTCGTGTGTCTGTATGTGCAGCTATATGTGTTTAATGTGTGTATTTGTGTGTCTGTAGTGCAAAGACAAACGTGATGAGCTGCACCACACACCTCCCCGAGCCCTATCTGATGGAATAAAGTGTGAGTGTCATCCTAAGATTACTACACACTGCCCGCTCTCTCTCTCTCTCACTCTCTGTGCCACTGCAAACACAATGAGCTCTAATGGCGATGGCCCCGACACTTCTGGCAAAGCCGAAAGCGGATCATTGCCAATGTTCCCTACGGCGCCGACTTCACCGGTCAACTGGCTGACGCTGACAAAATTACTCTGTGTTGGTGTGCACCAGCAACTCAGGTCTAGCAGGTGTGGCGCCTGACAGCAGACGGACTGCAAAACAATATATACTCTATTCACTTGTTGAAATTGATCTCCTCAAATTGTGTTTCGTTGATCCATTCTGCCCTCTTTCTCTCGCTCCTCCTTTAGTCACCCAGTCAATCTGCTGTTAGTTCCTTCAAGTTTGTCCTCCTTTCGCTTCACTTCTTTCCTGTTGATCTATGAAAATTGCTATAATCCCAATGTGGTGTAGTTGTTGATCACATCCATCTGCCCGTGGATCTGTTTTCCGTGTTCCACTTGTTTATATAACCCTGGCCACCCTCCCCTTGCTTAGAATGTGTGTGTGTCAGTGTGGGATCAGTGTCTGCATATTTTGCATACTATTTTGTGAAGGTTAGAGATGAGTGTGTGTGTGGATGGAAGCAGTGACAATGGTTCTCTTTCAGGTCAACAAACAGTGGCGATGTGTGTGTCTGAATGTGCTCGTCTGTCCAGTGTTGACTGAAGCAGAGTGTACATTTGGCTGCCTGTTTGGCCCAAACACTATCTACTACCCGTTAATTTATCCTTGCAGGCACACAGAGAGGCATCATAGAGCCTCTTTATGTTAAATTGCCGTTTTTATGGCTGCAGGGATGTACACGGCTGTCTGCTGACAAGAACTGTGTACATGTTTATGCGTGGCATTTGTAATTCAAAGTGAATGTGGATATAGCAGAAACGTACGGGACTATGCCTGTGTTATGATTTATGTTGATGTGAACCTGGCTCAATAAAAAGGTATCAGCGTCATATTTTTACCCTGATGAAACAGAAGTCATTGCTAACAGCTTGTCCAACTTGTCAGTATATTTTGCATCGACAAATCGTGCATAATGCAATTCGTTTGTTCGTGCTCATTACCACATGTACTAACATTACTGCTGTTGGCAATAAAACTGGCAATACAAAGCCAATGATGGAAGCTAACTACAGTAGACTCTGTGTCTTTGACTTTCATTGTCTTGTAAAATGTGAAAGGCAACACACTCTTGCTATTAGAATAGCTCCTCTAATTGTTCTTTATCAACTGATCATAAACTACCAGCTATAATCTGCCACACGCTGTATTTACAAACATCTTCATGCATTCAATTTGAAACATGCTGTTCCCTATTATCAAGTCAAATAAAGTCAAATTTATTTATCAAGTGCTTTTAACAAAATAGGGTCATCCCAAAGTGCTTTACAAAGCAACAAAGGACATAATTACAGACAAAAAGAGGAACACATCACAAACATTGCACTACTGGCAAGTGTGTGTGTGTGTATTTGTGTGACAAAGTCCCTGTGTGGGTAACCCCCTGATGGGTATATTTGTTTTTGTCACAGTGTGTGTGGAAGGAAGGGAGGTAATGGCAAATTGTGTCCCCTATCCCCCTTCCTTCTTCTCTCTGTCTCTCTCTCTCTCTCCCTCTCTCATCCAAATCAAATTTTTAATGGGCTTCATTGATGCCACCGTGGAATAAGTGTTGCCAAAGCACTTAAGGGGCTTAAGTCAGTGGCGTGCTGAAAATATTAAGCACTCAAACAGCCTTACAAGGATCCCTGCCTGCTTAAGTATGCCAAGGAGGTCGTGCCAGCATTTAATACCAATGGTATTAAAGCGCTCCGACATGGGAGAGGAACAGAAATACAGATATATACAGTATGTACCGCAACTGGGAATAGATGGGGAGATGGGGGCTGTTGTTGGAGAACGGCACGCGGTGGGAGACGAGGGAGATTCAAAAGAGATGAAGGGACTAACAGAGTAGTAGTGAGGTGAAGAAAAGAGTGCAACTGACGACAAAGGAGAGAAAAGGAAAAGTGAAAAGAAGAGTTGAGACAGTCCGAGAGACACAAGGGAGGAGAGGAGAAACAAGGAGTGTAGTAGGAGGAGAGATGCGAGGGAATCGGGCCAAGGTGTGGGAGGTAAGGGTTGATGGGATAGCTGTGAACCAGCAGCAGAGGGGTAATGTAGAGATTCTATCGGGAGGCTTATCCAAGATTAAATTTCTCTTTGTCCTTAAGGCGCTTCTTGGGTTAGCGGAAGTGTCGAATTTATTTCTTATGTCTCCCTTGGGGTTGTGCGTGTGAGTGGGTTGGGAGTGTACGTGAGCGTGTGTGAGCATGCTGAGGAGGTTGCATGTATATATGTGTCCGTGTAGGCGTGAATCTTGAGGGTTTATTAGCTGGCAAAGTGTGAAGGAGGGCATGTGTTACTGAAAGGTAAGGATAAATCAAATGAACATCTCCCCAAGGGTGGATCCAAGTCAGCATCCAAGTATTAGTGTGGTTACATTAACGTAGGAATGTGATCTCATATATCATGAATATAGATTGTGGATATTCTGAGTGCAATTCCAATGGAAGTTTTCTTTTTTTAATATAAAGTTTGTTTTATGGAGCTGCCACAAAGTCCCAGACTACCAGAAAGTTTAATCACTCACAAGAAAGTATCTAAACTGTCCTGATTGAGTAATCTCTTCTGGGATTCTCTCCAGTGTAAACAAAATGCACAACACTATACAACTAGGTTATAGATACTGCAAATGGGCTTGATTCTATCTTTAACATTTACAAGAAGAACATCATAAATACCCCATTGTAAGCATTTGTTCTTATAAAAACTGCTATTTTGACCCAGGTCTGAGTAAATTCCCATAATGCTCTGCCCCTCCTGGCCCTCTGCTGGGCTTCTCCTCCCATCTTTCTGGTTTCTTGTTTGTCTGACTTGTTGATAGCTAGCCTGGAGACATGCACTTGCTAATCCAACTGGGTTTACTCTGAACTCTCTAATTAGAAAAGTCACAGTTCCCCGATCTATGGACACTATCAGTGACTGCATTTTCTGGAGGCAGAGCTCAGGCTACTTCCTGCTCACCTCACGCTCCCGGGCACAAAGATCAATACGGCCCAATCATTTGGGTACATTTCAAGTAACACTGCCCGTCTTTCTTCACACAATTTAGGATTACAAAGTTTTGATTTTCTCTATTTCTCACAGTCTGTTGACAGCAGAGCCTGGCAAATAGATACAAGTCAATATGGCTGACATCATGACAGGCTAACAAGAATACAAAACAGATATTAGTATTTGAGTCACTGGCTGTCTGAAATTACATGTTGAATACATGAGCAGGCAGGGTGTTTTTTTCATACACTCATACTTTGCCTCACCTTTCTCTACAGTAACCTAGGAGATTAAACTCACTCTCTGGCAGACAAAAGACTTGGCAATGTCTTTTCCCTGGTTTTACAGGATGGAAGGAGAGGCATTAATGACGCCGTGGTGGCCATTGCAGATATCCTATAATTAGTCTCATCCCAATGTGCATTTGCCTTGCATCAACCGTGCATCAAAGGGGACAATTTTGGATCATTCTTTCCAAACATGGCAAAGAACTGAGCATGCAAATTTAGAACAAAACACTCAAGTGACAGACTGCAAGAACTGAAGATGGAGAATGCTATAGATTGCCGGGAACTAGTGTAGATGAACAAGCCGGTTAAAGCTCACTACATAGAAAAGAATATTGGAATGCTCCTCGTTTAATTCACTGTGTTGAATTCACTTAATCAGAAAGAGCTGTTATAGAACAAACAAAGGACTCAGAACCTTTGTCATTTGCTTTCATCGGGAGAGCTACAACAAATGTTTCAGTCTTTGGGTCATACGTGAATGCGAGCCAATTTGTCTCCACAAAAAATGAAATGCCAGTACGGACAAAAGCTTAAAGACTCTCAGGTCAAAAAAACACAAAAAACCACACACCTGCAAATTGCTCACACAAAGAAATGTCTAGAAATTAACCAACTGGGCCCAAATAAGAACAAGAATATGATCATATTTATATTCTTGTAACACAAAACCAAATCAAACCTTTTCGGAACACAAAAAAGTAAAAGTCCTGTGCTTTGTATAACAATCTACCTATTATAACCTCCTCCCCGACTTCTGTGATAAGTAAGACTAAATCAAAACTTCCTGGACTGGAAAAAAACAAAAAACTTGCCACTAAGCGTAAACCCAGCAGCAATTACTTTTCCAACAAAAAATAATTGGCAAAGCAAATTAGGATATGTATTTTGTAGGAGACGCGGTTGCAGTGTGAATGACTGAGTAGTCTCTGGGACACACAGGGAATTATACTGAGTCAAAGCTGCCGTTCGGGGGATATTTTTTTCCGAATAGTACCTTTAGTTAGTTTGAAAAGTTGCAAAAGAAACATAAGTAAAAAAGGTTATGTGTAACACTGGCGGACAGATACAGCAGGATTCAAGGTAGCAGCAGGTTTTGTCATTTGCTCTGATAAAGAGAACTCCAGCATACAAGGTGTTAGAGTATATAGACCAACAAGGCTGGAAGCTTTTCTAATGCAGATGTGACACTTAAATGTGTGCTTGGCCCTTGCCGTACCCATACATGCATTCATAGAAAGGCACGCAGTTTAAGTATGAGAAGGCATTAGAGGCATATTATATTATGCAGAACCATGCAAGGCCCCCACCGATTGGGATTCAACAGAGCGCTAAGCTCCGTCATCCCTTGTTCAGTAAGATAAATGCAAACAGTGTTACCTGCCAAGTCGAGAACGTACTGTTGGAGCTTCCTAACGAGTGTTTCCGTGTGCGCTGTGAGCCACATGCTACACAGCTACCCGCTGGGACTAACACTCATTATCCGTGTGGCATCATACCTCCCAGTGACAGGCCGTGACTCTGCGCTCACTGTTTTCTCTGCTGCAGTGCATGTGTCAGTCTCTCCTCTTTGTGTTCCCTGTGCATGTGCTGCTAAACATTACCGTGTTACCTGTGTGGAAAGCTCCTTGATGTGTGTGTGTGTGTGTGACAGATAGGTGTGACAGATAGGTCGCCACTGTGGCTATATATGCACGCACCAGTTCTCTACTGTTGCTCTTTACTTTCCAGGTATATGCGTGTGATGTGTTACTGATGTGCATATCAAGCCGTCAAGGCCGCAGCTTCTGATGTTTCATTTTTGCGCGCTCTGCAGGAAGATGGTTGGTGTATTCCCGTGCAGCTGGAAGCGGGTCGTGGACCAGGTTAGCCGCGTGCTGCCAGGGGTGCAGTGGGGGTGACTGGAATCGAGTGGCTATGTGCCACCTCGCCGGGAGTTACGCCGCCATCCGCCTTGCCCCCATTCCGCCAATTCACAAATGCCTAACAAAGGGATAATTTCTCCCCCGCATGATATAATCTTTCCTTTCACCCAATGCCTCAATGGAGTCCTTTATGGGTTTTTATCACATCTCTCTTTCCCCTCCCTCCTTCCTTCCCTCCATCTCTTTCTTTCTCACTCTGTCTGTTGTTTTTCCGACCCCTCCCTGCTTGTCTGTCCCTCTCCCTATTTGCCCTCTCTCTGCCTCTGTTGCTTTTTTTCCGATCCTTTTCTTGCTCTACTCTTCTCTCACTCTGACCTTACAGAGGGTCTTTGCACTGAAGTTACTCTTGTTACTCTGTCTCTCTCTCTCTCTCTCTCTCTCTCTCTGTGTGTGGAGGAAAATCACACACTCATCAGTTTGCCGGCTCTGTTCCTGACGAGCAGGCTCGCAAGGAGAATATTAACGAAGCTCCTCAGCCAATTAACACCTAAAGCACATAACAACCTTTTATGCCAGCAAACACACTCGCATGCACTTCTGTGCACATGCACGGACGAAAACATTTGCAGGAAAATACACACACATTGGCTGCCACACACAATTTGGCCTAAACACACTTACTTACGCGAGCAAAGAGGCTCACATAAACAGAAACACACGTACAGGCCTCAAAGCAAGGATGCGCTTTCACACATATGCACACTAATAGATTGTGCCGATGAGTGTGGGTGTAGAAGGAGCGGGACATTTATAGGAGCAAAGGGAAGTAAAGTGGAGAGAAAGGAGATGCAAAACAAAGTGGTGAGCAGTGGTGAGGTAGAGAGGGAGAAGGAGAGAGAGAGAGAGGTGAGGAGAGGAGAGAGGGAAAGATTGTGAGCGCGAGGAGAAAGACTGATTTATGGAGTGTGAAGAAAGGCATAAAAAAAATGGGGAAAATCAGTGATAGAAGGTTAACGTGGCTTGGCTTCTCCTGACATGGTTCATGCTAATTTGAAAGATTTAATAACGGGTCGTTGCGCACACACACACACACACACACACCTATCGGACACTGACATACACAGTTATCTTCGCCAGGTCAACACATTGCATAAAACATGGTGGTAGAAAGGGCATTAGCAGCGAACCTTTGCACGCACACACACACACACACACACACACCTATCGGACACTGACATAGACAGTTATCTTCGCCAGGTCAACACATTGCATAAAACATGGTGGTAGTAAGGGCATTAGCAGCGAACCTTTGCGCGCGCGCGCGCGCACACACACACACACACACACACACACACACACACACACACACACACACACACTCTTCTGGACACATGTGGGGCAGTATCCTCGTATGCATAAAACATGATGAGAGACAGCAGGAACAGGGGGCGTGAGGGAGACAGAGAGAACAAGTGCGAACGGACAAAAAGCGTATGGTAATGACCCGAATAACGAAAGGCTGCTGCCAGGAGAGGGGAGTCAGAGAGTGTGAGAGGGGGACAAGTGTGAATGTGGTAAAGTAATGGTGAGGAGGGAGAGAGAGAGAAACTTTCCTTACGGCCTGCTGCTTTTGGATTGAACAGAGTGCAAATGAAAAATGGAGATGAAATAATTAGACAGGCTGACTAGAGGCATCTAAATATGTAAATGCACTTAATTTTACTTTGATTTGCTCCACTGCTCCCCTATCACTCTCTCTCATTTCTATCTCCCCCACTTTTCCGCCTTCCATTCTCTTCCTCTCATCTGTTCCCATTCCACTCTCTCTTCATGCTCTTCATTTCCTTTCTCCCTCCTCACTCTGTCTCCCTCTCATCACTCTTTCTATACTCGCTTTTCTCTGTCTGCATATTCGGCTACAATATGTTGATACACCATAGGTATGTCAGCTTGATTATTCGCCGTTTTATGGACTTGCAGGAGTCAGAGAAAGAGAGTGTGTTTAATTAGTTCATTCATGCCTGTCTGACTCTGTGATGGGGTGTGTATGCCCGTGCATGGTTGTACACACAGTGACATCTATCCTTTTCTACCTATTTGTAAAAAAGGATAGATTTGGATAAATCCATCTTAAATTCATTTCTACTGTTCCTACTGGCCGTGAAGCAATCCCTAAAGTTCAGCTAAATATTATATGATGCTTCAGCAGTGTTTCCCCGGGCACTGTTACCTGCTGAGTGGCGGAGGGATAGATCGTGACATGTGGGTTGGTTGCCAGAATGCAACTACGTCAGTTACAGCAACCTAATTGGATGAAGATATACTTGATTTGGCTGACTCCGACAACTGGAGCCTCCTTAGATCGAGGCAATTTTTCTTCTTCGCTTAATTTTTGTGAATTTGACCGCTGGGCTGTGTGACGCCCCTCCCATTGCCTTGGAGGCTGTCCTGGCCAACGTCAGCTGATTGGGCTCATGGGCCATTAAGCTATAAACGCTGACCCCTGTGCTCACACTGTCTCTCCATTCCAGCAGCTGGGATCCACCCTGCATCATCTTGTTTTTCAACTTCAACATCTCCATAGCACACATATCACACATACATATATATATATATATATATATATATATATATATATGTACATAGACATATATATATGTATTAAATCTGAGATAAGTGGACATTTTCTGCTCTAGTTGAAACACTTTTTTGAGGTCTTCGCCTAAGTTTGCACCGCCACAAGAAAATGTAAGGGTTAACTGTGCATTCAATTCAATTGTGAATCAAGTTGAGTAATATCCAAACCTGTCGTATGTTTGCATGCCTGTGTGTCTGCATGTGGTTGCGATTCATTTAAAAAAGGTGGCTCTTGTAAATCCAGTGAGAAAACAAGAAGCGACACATTTTATTTATCTTGTTTTTGAACTTTTCTCTCGAAGCTGCCCATGTAGTTCACATCTCCGCTGTCTTTTTCAAGTCTAATAATTATGGCAACAGTTCACAGATCCTGTTCCAATTAAACACATTGTCCATAAATTCCTAACATGACTGGTTTCTGCACCTTGTAAATAAAACTGGCAGCAAAGCACTGTGAAATTAAAATCCCCCCTCCTCTCATATTTTCCAAAAAATTTAATAATTGCTTTTTTAAGTGCATGTTGACTGAACATGTTATTAAATTACATTGTGCATTTTCATTGATGTATTTGCAGAAATGTATCTTGAAACGGAGATCCAAACCTTTAATGAGACCACAGTACCAAAAATAAAATAAGTGAAAATATGAAAATGTGAGCAGTTTGACTGTGTGCGAGTACGTGCATGTGTGTGTGAGTGCGTTTGGATTATAGATTAGAAGTCACCGCGGAAAAAGGCAGCTGTCCTTCTTAATGACAATCTGTCACAGCTCTTCCCTAACCGCTCCTCCTCTTTCATCAGCCTGTCTTCTCTCTCCAACCCCGTCCTCCTCTCTTTAGTCCGACTTGTACCGAACATCCCTCACTGGGACACTCACTTCCTGTTTCTACAAGGTGACTCTGACAGCAGTCCTCCTCATTTTACCTCTTCGAGCTTCCTTTTTTTTTTGTCTTTCTCCTTCTCTCTGCCAGCTGTTGTCGCTCTATATCAAATATATTATATATATCTATATATATTGTAAATACGTTTGTTACCAATTTTTGTCAGAATAAATAATAATTACAGTATTGTGAGTTTTTATTTGGAGATAAGAGCTTTGACATCTTGATCTCTGATCTATATACAGTACATTTTGTATATAACATCGATATAATAATATATGTATCATGTTTTAATTTCATTTTCTATTGTTTGATCACTCTGTACAGCACTTTGGATTGCTTTTATATTACTTTGTGCTCCACTAATAAAGTAGTGCTTGAGCACATTACAGCTTCCCACATCACAGCTAAACGATCACATCAGACAAATGATGATCAATGCAGACGAATGACTATCTCTCTAATTGTGACATATGATGAGGCTACCAATTGTGGTTTACGAGGCAATGTTTGGTAAATGGATTAAAGTAATGATTGCTGATAGAAAAAAAGCGAGTAGGATTTATTGGATCAGAACAAGTTTATCACTTTTCTTCAGGCTATAACTTTGGTCTCTTTTCCACCATCTGTCTTTCTGCCACTGCTGTCTCAAGTCGTGGAACATAAACTGTCTTATGGGTTTTGATTTGATTTGATCCCTTTCAGTTCTTCCTTTCTTTGTTGTTGTTGTTTTTGAGGCTTTGTTATGTGGGGGGGGTTTTATCCTCTGAGGAGATAAACAAAAGGTGACATTCTTTGTGTTCAAAGTTTGTTTCTTTTGTTGAAATCGGAGAGCTGAAGGTATCGAATGCAGCATATTTTCTTCTCTGTTGCTCCTGCAGTAGCACTCACAACACTGCCCACATACATCAGTATTCTACTGAACAGCATGTTCAAGGTACCCAACACTGCCTCCACAAGTGACCCTGACATAGCACTAGTATTATTCATGACTCCATTCCTCCTCTTCTCCTCTCTTCACGTCCTCCAGCTCTAACAAGGGCCACCGACACCGGGAGAACGCCTCGGCCTCCTAACCTTTAATTAATCTGCAGGAATGAAACGGTATATAGTAGTTGTGAGTCAAATAAAAGCTTGTTATTTTCTATCTTCCAAATTTTCCCAGGTCAAATACAATTTTGGAAATCAGCTTTTCCTTGGCACGAGCAAGATACTTCAAACTACCCTCAGGCTCCGATTATTCATTTATAATGCACTGCCACTATTTTACCTACGTAATAAGTACTCTCGCACTGGCCTGAGCAGTGAACATAATACATACGGACAATAATTAAGTTGACATCAACAATATATTAATTATACTTTCAATAAGCAGAGATGACGAAATCAGACCTTAACAAAGGCCTTAAAAGGTAACTTCAGTATTTTTCAACCTGGACCCTATTGTCCCATGTTTTTGTGTCTAATGGGGACAACAATTTTTGAAATTGGTCCAGTATTGAGGGAGTACACGGCAAACAGCAGCCGCTATACAGGCTACAATGTAATCATATCGGGCAAATGCACACGGTCATTATAGCTACATCCACTGAAAGTGCTTGTTTTTCCCGCTGACAGCCTCAGATTGCTATTTTAAGTGTCTGACAGCATTGTGGAAAGAACCCTACAGAGACATAAAATCTTTTTTTCTTTCCCTGGCGCTTGATTATATCTGAATTGCCGAAATCGGCTAAATATTCAGACATGACATTGAAAATCTTTTAGATAACACTAAGCTCCTGCTTTCTCTACTTCAACACAACAACCTCTGACAACACCAGTGTCCCGTGGCACTCCTCCATCCAACTCTCACTAATGCTTCCTCCAGGGTCCAGGTTGAAAAATACTTAACACCCCTATGACATCTGCTAATGTTTTTCTACCTCACTTTTGATTGATTATCATGAGTTCGATGATTACAAATGAAAACGCACATTAATAGCTGTCAAATCTCTACTTCACCCTACATTTTATAGTGTCTGTCAATCCCACACAGCACTCAGCGGATCCCAGCCAGGGCCAAGAGGGGCAAAAGGTGATGCAGCCTGCATCCCTCTCGTGCCAAAGTGAAAGAAAAAAAATGATCAATTAATCTAAGAGGCTTTCTTTCCCTACTTAAGTGTACTGCAGGCTACTGGGCGCTGTTTGCCTTTAACAAGCAAATAGTTGTTGAAACCAATTTAACAAGCCAGTAGCACACTGTGCCTCTCAGCACACAGTGAATCCAACACACAAGCTCGCACACGCACGTTCCTCTATTTACTCCTGGACGGCTCACACTGGTCGGAGAGTGTGCAAAGCCACAGCAGAGGGACCCACCAAATGGGCCGAAGTAGCTCGGAGCAATTAACCAGCATGAATTTTATACACCTCTCACCTCTATAAAGCAAAAAACAAAATCCTGATTTCGCATTTCATTCAGCTTCACTCTAACAGCACGGTTGGTTGGAGGGAGCTTGGGGGGGGGGGATTTGAGACCTTTTAGAGACTAACCACAAGAAGAAGAATCAGACCCCAACTAGCATGACTAACACTTGTAACACCGTTGCTATCAGGCAATGTTTATCAGTGAGGTTCCCAGTACACCTGTTGGTAATTCTAATGAAGAGAATAACACCCCCAGCAGGGGACTGAATTAAGCTGCAGCAGTCATAAACAGGCCTAATAAGGCACTACGTGGGGCCTGCACACCCATACATAGATTCCAAGCTGTGTGTGTGTGTTTGTGTGTCTGATATAGATGGAGGGGTTCCAATTTTATTTCATGACCCGAGGTACCCCTTCGTAACTACTTGCATAAGTAAACTTCAGCCCATGGTTTGGTAATAATAGTTATTACATTGCTCTGCCTGCAGGAGGCTATCACACTGACACAAACACACACACTTACACACACTTAAACGCCACTTAATTGACACATGTGCAATTGTGCAGTTCAATCAGGGAGTTATTTTGGAAGCAACCAACACAGAGAACTCTGCAAAGGTACTCATGCACACAAACGCATGAAAAACACACACACACACACACACACACACACACACAACCCCCCACAGCATCCCACACACAAACACAGACATAGTTACACACAATCATCCTTTGCAGCTGGTCCTTTCTCCACACCCAGCCCCTCATACTAACATCCATCGCCTAGCAACCACCTATCAGGAAACACGCTCACCTCCGGACCCGAATCGCCTGCCCCTGACAGGCA